TGAGGGAGAGAAGGAATTTGAACAGGGACCTGCCACCTTTCAGATGAGCGTTCTAACCACTAGGCTAAAAGTTATAGGGGAAATTTCTGCTGCCCACCTGGTTGTCTTGTTTTGGGTACCCCATGCAGCATAGGTGACCAAGCGCCTATCTTCCACTGGTTCGTGGATTGCTAGCAGACCTAGGTACTACCCTGCATCCCAGACTTAGGCACCTGAGAGAGAGGCAGGGTTTAGCACACACCTTTCAGGTTGGTATCTTCAATTGGCTAGCTTAGATGGCTCCCTGCCTAGCATGGTGGCTGTTGTGGATCACATTTGTTAAGACCCCTTTCTCTGACCATTCATTGTATAGGAGCCTAGGCGCCTAATGCGGGCTTTTTGGATTGCAGTGTTGTTCCTGTGGTTTTCTAGGCACCTGAAAGTTAGGCATCGCAGCGCTCAGTGTTGCAACACCTAAGTACCCTTGTGGATCCCACCCTAAGTGATTTGCCTAAGGTCACACAGTGAGGCAGTTGGCTAGATAGAATCTGACCTGATTCTAACCCTGTGTATTTCAATCTGTATTGGTATATGCTCTGTTTTAGAGGTGATGAGGGCCTACTTGCAACAGCTGAGACAAGAAACCGGTCTTAGGCTTTGTGAAAAGGTGTTCGATCCCCAAAGTGACAAGCCTAGCAAGGTAAGATGCCGTTCTCAATGACTGGGTGGTTATTTATCCCAATTACAGGCTGTCTTTCTTTTATGACTGGTGGACGCTTGAGGCACGCTCCTTCTTCAAAATGTTAACCCCCGAAATAATGTAAAAAATCATGTCAAACTTGGCTTGGGTTGCTATTTAAAAGGTGTGTCAAGTGTAGACCAAGGAGTTGAAAGGATAGTTATGGAATGCTTGTCTATGGCAGGGAATGCAGTAGAGCAACAAGGGGGAAAAAGGAAAAACAGCAGGGAGAGATGGGGGAGAACCTGTCAAGCAAGAATCCTGAGACGTAAGGGGCTAGTGGAATAGTGAAAAGTGATTAAGACAAACATTTGTAATGTGATATGGCAGCAAATGCCAATTTAGGCTGCACAGGTAGAGGCATCCTGTTAAAGAGCAGGGCTGTAACACTTGTTGGTCCAATCCTGTGAAGTGGTGAGCACCTCCTGGGAGCTGAGAACCCTCAATTCCTTATATTGAATTCAGCAGGCGTTCAGGATACTCAGCATCATTCAAGTTGGGTCTGATGTGATCACTCCTATGTGGGAAAGCCCTTCGCTACAGATATGAGTAGCAAAAATAGCTAATTGATCCATCAGTTCCTGACTGGCTAGGCAGACATTTGCACATAAGCAAGAGTAACTTTACAATTATCAAGCCAATTTATTTTTCAGAATTATTGCCTACAAGTCACTGAGGACTTAGCCACATGCCATATCCACAGTCTTGACTTCATCTGCTTTTGAGTCAAGTGCAAGACAATACATTTTTAAAGTAAATCTTGTGTGGGGTTTTTTTTTTATGTTCACTTAATTCAAAAGTGACTGAAATGACTTCTTACATTTTTTGTAAAAAAAAGTTGGACTGAGATTAAGAATGAGACTCTTAATCCGCTTTTTTTATAAGTAGTGGAAAGTAAAGGCTTAGATCGAAATGATCACCTCAGCCTTAACTATGAGTCTGGGACTGCAACTCTATACTACAATGCGTTGACTTAATCCACACTTTGGGGCTAATCCTGCCTTCCTTGCACATCTAAAACTCCAGTCGAAGCCAGTGGAGAAAATTGGATGTGCAACTAATGCAGGATCAGGTCCATTACATCTGAGTTGGTTTTAAATCCTATTTTGTTTTGCCTCAATCTTCTTACCTGGAAATTGCTACAGTATATCTTCTGATCCCACTGTATTTCTTTCCCTTAGTGGTGGACCTGCTTCGTGAAGAGGCAGTTCATGAATAAGAGTCTGTCAGGACCTGGGCAATGAAGAGGCAATGAGATACAATGTTAAGCATTTTGCAGCAAGATGTATAAAATATTTTGCCTTTGTTTCATATACATTTTATACCAAGGAAGAATAAGTGCTTATGAGGAAAAGCTGTCAGTCTGCGGGGGAAGATGGAACAGAAAGCCATTTGAGTACTGTACGCAAATTATGTTAAGCTGGTGCTTAATAAAAAATGATTTCTAACATGCTGTTTCAGATCAACGCTGCTTTGTTATTTATTGGTGGGTACATATAAGGTAGGATTTGACTTAAGCCTAAACAGAGATGTGTAAAGGAGCATCTAAACACTCTACTGGATAGAGTACTGAGATCTATGTCCCTGGTCAAAAGGCCACTCATGCTGTATTGTAAAGCACAGTGAATTTTACTCCTGTATCAATAAACTTAGCTTATATTTCAAGTGATAACTGCTTTATCTCTTATGAATGTAGATAGCTTTAACAAAAATCAACGCTTTATTTGTATTGCAGTAGTGCCTAGAGACCCCAATGGAGACAGGGGCTCCATTATGCTAGGCACTGTACAGACTCATAGTCAGAAATGTTCTCTGGCCTGAAGAGCTTACAATGTAAATAGACGAGACACCTATGGGATAAGAGGGGAAAGAAGTACAGGCAGGTGAAGTGACTTGCCCAAGGTCACGTAGGAAGTCCGTAGTGGAGCAGGAAGTAGAATCCCAGGATAAAATCCTGACTCCAGTGAATGAGGCCAGAATGTCACTCTGCATTTTAGTCCAGTACCTTAGGCACCAGTCCATGCTACCTCTCACTCTAGAATGCCAGCCTTGCATTGAGAAGTCTCTCTTCTTGATTGGAAACAAAATGAAAGACATATGGGGCCTGATCCTGAAGCTTTGTTCAGGCTATACTCCTTTCAATGAGATTTTTGCCTCACTAAAAACTGTAATATGTTAGAATGATTACTGTGTCTATAATGTCACCCTGTGGAACAAGGTGTAATTCTAATATGGACTGCAAGCTGTCACAGTGACTAGAAAGTTGCATTACGGTAACTGGAGATACAGGTGTGAAATTCTATTAGATGTAAAAGGGACATTTTACATGGCAGCCACGTGTTGTGCGTCTCTCACTTCCCCTCCCCTCTTCAATATACACATGCCTCTTCCTCCATCTCTGCTAGAATGTCCCACATCAGGCAGGGCAGCAGGAAATCCCCTCCGCCCTCAAAGGATCTAATCTTTGCCACCAGGGTGCTGCTGTGGCACAGGGAGCTGAACGGTTGGGGCACGGGCATAGGTTGGAATTCAGATGGGGACAGGGAGAGCTAATGAGAAACAGGAGCACAGTAGAGGAGTTTGCTTCACAATCTCCTGACACTCCTACCCCCTCAGACCACCCTAGGTTCACTTCTGTCTCCTTGGCTCTCCTCTGCCCTCCCACTGCTTCTGAGGGCTAAGTTCCTGGTTTGACTGTGTATGTGTGGAACATGGGGGGAGGGGGGGAATACAGACTTGTTCACACTAGGTGCAGGGGTTCTCAAACTGCGGGTCAGGACCTCAAAGTGGGTTAAGACCCCATTTTAATGGGGTTGCGAAGGCTGAAGCCCAAGCCCCACCACCCAAGGCTAAGATTACATGCCCTTCCTCCTCCCCCTGCCCCCCCGGGGCAGAAGCCCTTGGGATTCAGCTTTGCCCCCCATCCCCCTCCCCAGGGTGGCGGGGCTCAGTCTTCGATCCCCCTCCTGGGGTCATGTAGTAATTTTTGTTGTCAGAAGTGGGTCACGATGCAGTGAAGTTTGAGAACCACTGGACTAGTGTGAAATCATGGGTGCAGTCTAGGGGGAGAACGTTGCCCCCCAAACTGCAAGCCTTGGGCAGGCGTGGAAGCTGCCCCTCCATGCATGACCACATTGGCCTGACTGGAGCTGCCCCACCCCCAAATATGTAAGTCAAACTTCGCCTATGTATCAAATGTCAACCTGAAGCTGTGCAAAGCTTAGCTGCTCTGCCTATAAGGTAGGTCAGGACCAATAATTTAGTTCCAAGGGGAGGAGAAGAGATGTTCTCCTGAGTATTTATTTAAAAATAACCAAAAAACAAACAACAAAGTTTTGAAACCTGTAGCTTGAGGAGCAATGCGTTAATAGGGACTCAGGAGCCTCTCAGCATTAATCCTAAATCTCTTCCTGATTGATGAGACTGTTCATCTAAGGATTGCCGGATCAAGCCCATACTGTATAAAGGGAAGAAATACAAAGACTTGAAAATACTGTTATTTAGAGTATTCTGAAAAGCATGCTTCATTTTAAAAGAAATAAACCCTTTATATTTTGTGTAGTACAATCTGAGATGCCTGCACCTAATTTGTTCTCCTACTGAATTATTTTCTTACGTGGTAACATTGAATTTATTTCCCCCATACATTGAGTAACATTAACATGTTACTTTAACAACTTCTTCATCTCAGATCCAAGTGTGGCATATTAATCCTGCATTCCTTACAGATCCGGCTCATGTCCCCATTAACTTCAGTGGGAGTTGTGGCTACAGAAGGAACATCATAAGCTTGATAAATTGTAGTGTTTTTCTTTATTAAGTGTACAAAAAGCACGAGAGACCACAGTAATGCACACCTGAGCAAAAGGTGAGAAAAACCAACAAAATCCGTGAATCAGGACAGGGATAGTAATAGTATTTCATGACAAATTAAAAGCTGACCCGTGTGTGTCAACCCTGGCACCATATTCACTGTGATGTTACTTTTTGGTTCATTTGCTACAACACCCAACACCCCCCCGCCTTTCTATAACAACGTGACTCGGGTCGTCTAGGGCGACACAAGGCACGGACTAGCAGAGACAGCCGCTGCGCATGCGTAGAGTGGTTCAGCTGCGGGGGCGACCATTATTGTGCCTGCTAGAAAATGTCATCGCTTTGTAGCCTACCCCTTCAGCGGCAGCGATTTTAATGGTGAAGGAGAGGCGAGGCTGGCACCTGGGCGGATTTCCATGGGGTCCCAACGGAGAGGTTTTTAAACTGAGGCGTGAGTGAGGGCCACCTAGAGAGGTATTATGGACTCCTGCCTGCGAGGACCCCTAGGTGGCGCCATTTTGGAGTCGCAGCGGGCTGAGGAAGCGCTGTCTCTTCCGACCCCATCCCCGGCCGGCGCCCCTCGTTCCACTCCGGCCTCCAGGATGAGCGTGGTGGAGCATGTGCGGGAGATGGCGGCTGCCGGGCTCCACTCCAATGTGCGGCTCCTCAGCGGGCTCCTGCTCACCATGAGCGGCAACAACCCGTGAGTGCCGCCGGCAGGGGGCTCTGTGGGGGCGGCAAGAGACCGGGGGCTGAGGCGAGGGCGCTCCTGGTGTGGGGGAGGGACATGGCTATGGTGTGGGAGAGGCTGCGGGGTGATGGGGGAGGGGGCCTACGCGTCCCTCGGTGGGGAGTGGGGGGGGGGGTGTGAAATAAGGAGCTAAGAGCTTCGTGGGGCCCTGTGGGAGCCCCAGTGGGAGACGGTCCCGCCTGGGGTAACAGATCGGGGCTGCAGTTGCTTGAGGTCTGTACCTGGCTCTGCCAGACACTTGCTGTGGGATCATTAGCAGGTCCCAGTTGTCACAGTTCCCCTCTGTGTAAAACGGGACCAGCAATATGCTCCCGGATGAGGCACTTTGAGATGTGTGTATGAAAAGCCCTATAACTGCTAAGAGTTTCAGCTTCCCAGGCGGGGCAATCGAGAGACAAGGTGACTTACCCATCACTTTCTGATGGATCATCATTGAGGATATGCCACCCACATCATTCTCCTCCTGTTGACAGTGATGATAGTGGACATAGCGTCTTTCAGCACTTAAGCTGCGGTGCATTGTCTGTGTTCAATGTACTTAATGAACCATAATTGTTACTAACAAAAATTAAAATACAGTCCTAAAACTGAGTTCTTGGCTCTCAAATCTGCCTGTTGCAGAGGATGGTTAACAACAGTTACCATTGTAAAGTTTTAACAGATGATTGACAAATAAAAGGTGTTCTAATTGGGGCTATTGTGTTTAAGATGGAACTTGCTTGTAGTTGGGTTTATTTATTTAAGGGTACAAATATTGCACTCTTAGTTCTTCCAGATTTCAGGCACAGCCAGGGGATTTAATTACTAATACTGAAAAATTAGGATTTAGCAATTTTCCTCCTATTATGTAATCAGCTAGTTTAAGCTGATATCTTTTTTTAATTTCTTCTAGTGAGTTATTCTCGCCATCACAAAAGTACCAGCTTCTTGTATATCATGCAGATTCCCTCTTCCATGACAAGGAATATAGGAATGCTGTAAGTAAGTATACAATGGCCTTGCAGCAGAAGAAAGCATTAAGTAAAACTTCAAAAGTAAGACCCTCTACTGGGAATGCTGCAGCCACTCCACAAAGTCAGGTATTTGGAAATAGAGTAACATACTGCATATAACTCTTATTCTCTCTGTAAAATGAAATATTGGTGAATTAAATGTTGTAGCAGTAGACTATAAAATTACCAAAGCAGAGAAGCCTGAAATTTGGGGCTATTTAATTTTGAAAATGTGTCTGACCACTACTTTCTAATGAAAAGCTTAAGTTGGTCTCAAATGTCAGAGAGAATGGCCATTTAATTTGTAGTTTTCATTAGCAAGAGAGAAGATAGTCTGCATTATAAAAGTACAACGTACTGTCATCTTTACGTTTTATATCTTGACTTTGTTAATGAAAATACAAGTCTTTCATAAGATTTTAGTAATTTAGACTCTGTTTTATATAGTTAGAACAACATTTGAGAGAGATTACATTTTAGTGATCTATTTTATTTTAGTGCCTGCCATCTGAAATTGAAGTGAAATACAAGATGGCTGAATGTTACACAATGTTGAAGCAAGATAAAGATGCTATTGCTATACTAGATGGAATTCCTTCAAGACAGAGAACCCCCAAGGTAGGTTCTCGAATTGATTTGTGGCAAACAGTAGTTGTATTGTCATATTTGCTCAAGAATTAAGATGTAGCATATAGAGGTAAAGAGACTAAACCTTGACATTTGTGCTTATAATATTTAAATGAGTTATTTGGGAACAATGGCTAAACACTTCTAAACTATCTGAGTTTAGTAAGCATATCTTCTTTAAAACCAGGTAGTCTCTGTATGGAATTTCTTTGTTTGAAAGAGTTCACCAAACTAATAGGAGTTAAATGTTTTTGGATGTCTTTAACAGGTAATTCTTGTGACAATTACCTGGGTAATTTTATTAATGCTAGTGGGAATTACAAAATCTTCTCTATGCGTGAGGAACAATAGACACCTTGACATGTACTGATAAGCTATTGAGAACATGTATACTTAAGCTATTTAGGATTGAAGTCTCTATTAGCTATGCAAAATTCTACTCTCCGCAGCTGACGCCTCTGAGGTTTTTGGAAGGTAGTATAAGTAGTTTTTACAATTCTGGGAAAGAGTAATTGCTGCTCTAGACAAAAGTGGTAAAAATGCCTTAGCTCTGACTATGCTAATACTCCCACCAGTGCTACCACCAGAGGTAGTAAAACAATGGACAGTTCTTGAAAACAGTGAAAATACAGTTAATAGGAAATGAAGTGTTGTCACCTTGTTTTGTCACTCTACCAGTGGGAGTCTCTTAAGAGAGGACTCTCTTTCTTCCTTAAAAAGCAACAGAGGGTCCTGTGACACCTTTAAGACTAACAGAAGTATTGGGAGCGTAAGCTTTCGTGCATCTGAAGAAGTGAGGTTCTTACCCACGAAAGCTTATGCTCCCAATACTTCTGTTAGTCTTAAAGGTGCCACAGGACCCTCTGTTGCTTTTTACAGATTCAGACTAACATGGCTGATACTGATACTGTCTTCCTTAAGATTCTTCTCACACTTTTTAATGATTTAGATAGTGCTAAATCAATGAGGAGTACTTGTGGCACCTTAGAAACTAACAAATTTGATGGTGTCCAGTTTGCAAACTAATTCCAGTTCTGCAATTTCTCGTTGGAGTCTGTTTTTGAAGTTTTTTTTGTTGAAGAATTGCCACTTTTAAGTCTGTTATTGAGTGTCCAGGGAGATTGAAGTGTTCTCCAACTGGTTTTTGAATGTTATAATTCTTGACGTCTAATTTGTGTCCATTTATTCTTTTGCATAGAGACTGTCCAGTTTGGCCAACGTACATGGCAGAGGGGCATTGCTGGCACATGATGGCATATATCACATTGGTAGATGTGCAGATGAACGAGCCCCTAATGGTGTGGCTGACGTGGTTAGGTCCTATGATGGTGTCCCTTGAATAGATACATGGACAGAGTTGGCAACGGGGTTTGTTGCAGGGATGGGTTCCTGGGTTAGTGTTTTTGTTGTGTGGTGTGTAGGTGCTGGTGAGTATTTGCTTCAGGTTGGGGGGCTGTCTGTAAGCGAGGACTGGCCTGTCTCCCAAGGTCTGTGAGAATGAGGGATCGTCCTTCAGAATAGGTTGTAGATCCTTGATGATGCGCTGGAGAGGTTTTAGTTGGGGGCTGAAGGTGACGGCTACCGGCGTTCTGTTACTTTCTTTGTTGGGCCTGTCCTGTAGTAGGTGACTTCTGGGTACCCTTCTGGCTCTGTCAATCTGTTTCTTCACTTCACCAGGTGGGTATTGTAGTTTTAATAACTCTTGATAGAGATCCTGTAGGTGTTTGTCTCTGTCTGAGGGATTGGAGCAAATGGAGTTGTATCTTAGAGCTTGGCTTACAGACAGCCCCCCAACTTGAAGCAAGTATCAGAGGGGTAGCCGTGTTAGTCTGAATCTATAAAAAGCAACAGCGGGTCCTGTGGCACCTTTG